CATATATATATGAAACGTCAGGGACTATCATCGTGTCTTAGACTAAGCTAATGGGACATACAGCTGCTAAAGAGTTGCCTCTAAACCGAGAGAAGCTGCAACAGAGCCATGCTGGTCGCGGGCGGGCGGTGGTGACGTGCGGTGGTGTTGCTCTGATTAGGCGGTGACATGACAGTCTGATGACATGATATTGTGAGGCGTGACATCAATTACTGCATATCTTTTGTAGTCAGTTATTTCTATGTTGGAAGGAACGGCGGTGGTGTGGCAGCGGCGTGGGTGATGAGAAGCGGAGTGTGATGACAGGGCGGTCAGGTGGTGAGTGGTGGCGGTTTTAAGCGGCGTCATAACACCGGTGTTCGTGTTGATCCGGGAGCTGAGTGGGCATTGTGAAGTGACGCAAACTTGGCAATTCGCTCTGACAAAATCAAAATGGTGCGATAACGTGAACATGACGCGAGTTGAGAGGCAGATTCCAAAATATAATAAAAAAGAAAACAAAAGGGAACAAAAAGAAAAAAAAAATCATTGACAGTATGTAAAATCTGTATAATTCTACAAAATCTTAAGATTTTCCACTTGGTAACATGGCATAAATACATAACACCTGTCAACGTAAGACGCCTACACTGAATAGAAAGTGACTCCTACCAACATTATTATCTACACTGACGTCATACATGGAGCGAAAGTTGCTGCCTTTAAGATTCTATAACTACACAGTGAAGAGTATCTACCGTCGCACTACACTATACAACACTACACAACACTATAACCTTTCAATACGTATCCCTCTGACCTCTGACCTCAGCGCAACAGAAGCACCCCATTTCTCCCTTTCCTCACAATTGTCATAACTCGCCTGTCCCTCAACCTATCTCCTAATTTCATATATTCTAAAAAAATATATGCGATATATTCTTATTGCAACAAGAAACTGACTACCGTACATAAGAAAACACTTTCAGTATAATTCCTCCGGGCTGAGAGATACCGCTGTTGTGCGCTACACTTCCCGACTTACTAAAAGCCTCAGGTTCGATATTCAAGCACTTTACTTAATCCTGCCTTAAGCTCGTGTAAGAACGCTAACAAGATCCGCTTCTCTCGCTTTTTTCCCTTTTATCAAACTCGTTATTGTTCGTATTATTGTTATCGTCTTCGCGATCATCGGTCTTGTTATTATCACTATTGTTATTAGTAGTTGTATTGTTCTTGTTACGAGTATCAGCATCATCGTCATTATTGGTGTTGTTACCATTTTTGTTATCAGCGCTTTTTGTTGTCGTTGCTGTTCATACTGCTGAAGATAGCGTTATTACAGCAGAAATAACTTAATCATTAATAATAGTGGTATCATTATTATTAGTAATATCAGCTGTTGCTATACTGTCTTCCTTAGTGCTCCTGATATTATGATATTTTTATCATTATTATCATTATTGTCATAATTCTTACTCATATCATCGCCATCATCATTACTTTTACTACCATCTTCATCAGAATTACAAAGGGTATCACCAGCATCATTATTCTTTACAAGACCTCATTCATACTGTAAATCTTCCCTCTTTTCTCTTGCAAGGGCGACTCCTTCAGCCTGAGGATCCTTCTGCTGAGCAAAGCCGAAGGACGCCCTCTGACCCATGCGCAGGATGCTGACGTCATCTGACCTTTCTTCGTAAAATCACCTTTTTTTTGAGGGAATAGTTTTTTCTCCTTCTCTTGTCCTTTTTCTTCGTCCCTTTTTCAGAACACTCGGAAGAGCTGAGCAGCGTGTGTGGGCGTCGAGAAACTTGCGTGGGCGTGGGCATACAGAGGTAGACGTGCCCGCGAGACACAGAGCAAAGCTAGGTGTATGTGGGCAGAGGGAGACGGAGGGGGAGAGGGAGGGGGGAGGAGGGAGGTCGGTAAATGAAGATCGTTTTGTAATTATCAAAGGTAACTGAAGGAGGCGGTGATGACGTCAAGGGCGACGAGGAGGAGGAAGAGAAGGAGGAGGAGAGAGGGGGACGAGGAGGAGGGAAGAAGCAGAAGGAGAAGGAGGAAGAGGAGGAGGAAGAAGAAGGAGAAGAGGAGGAGGACGAGGAGGTGGAGGAAGAAGAGGGGGTGGAGGAGGAAGAAAAAGAGGAGGGGGAGGAGTAGGATGATAAGGAGGATGAGGAAGAGGAGGAGGGGAGGACGAGGATGAGGGGGGAGGAAGAAGATGAAAGGGAGAAAGAGAATAAGAAGGAAGAGGAGGAGGAGGAGGAGGAGGAGGAGGAGGAGGAGGAGGAGCAGGAGGAGGCGGCGGCCCTCGACGCTTGATCAAACGTGTTCCTTTGGTCGTGTTCTGTTTCCGGCGCGTGGCTCTGTTAACGGCGCCTCTTGATTGTTATTACGGCTCCGCTGGCTGTGGCGGTCCTCGCGCCATCTTTGTTGACACTGTTGCTCCTTGTTGCACCTTTATTGAGCCTCTTCCCCACCTACCACGTTATTCGCTCTTCATTGTTTCTGCATATTTATTGGAGTGTGATTTTATTTTTACGACATACTATAGCATCGGTGTGTGCTATTAACAACTGGTTTTCCTACCTGCTGATGAACAGTCTTTGAAATGATTGCTTGAAAATCATTAAGTTTATGGCATTATTTTTTGCTGTCTATCTGGGTGTCTTCCCATTTATGTCCTATCTGTCAATTTATGCATATATCTATATATCCATCTATCTACATATCTATTTACCTTTCTATTTCCTTTCAATTGTCTATATTCATCTCCAACTGTCTGCCCATCTATCAGTATATCTATCTATTCATATATAATATTTCCCTGCTCCACTTCTATTCATTCGACTATAAGTCGCAGTAAACTTGTATCTAAAGCAGACGCTCATTTAAATGTCAAAGGCATGATCTCCAATAACCTTTTATCGGAGTCATGTTATATAAAAACGCGTAATTTTATGCCATGCTCACCAGCGCTACGTTGCTTCCAATTAAAGAGTTACAATGAATGGTTTTAATCACCGATTTTTTTTACAACGAACAATAAGTATGACAGGGCTGGCTTATCGCGAGGAATCTGCCGTGCAGTTAATTAGCGCATCGCCATCGGGCCGCGGTTGCCGTGGGCGTCTCGCCACACGGGCGGTGAGGGCTGTGTCTGGGCAAGGAAGCTGGAGTGATGAGTGGGCGCTGCGTCACACACAGACACGATGCCATGAGTGGGATGTCGGATGAGGATGGCTGTGTCAGCATATAAATCTAGGACATGAGAGGCATGATCACTGACATATTCAGAATATAAAAAAAGGAAGAGATATGGAAACACTGTACTTACAGGGACCTAAGCCGAGGAAAGTTAAGAAAAAGAAAGACGAGGAAGAAGAGTGAGAAACCTTGTACCTCCAGGACCCGAGGTCACGGCCCCCTTACGACCTGTGACAACCCATTCGCGACCTGCGTCAGGTCACTCACGAAATCACACAGCCCGCCGTTACTCGTGGGTTCGGGCGAGGGAATGGTCACATAACTCCTCGTTTTGTGTTAGTTATGAGTGAGTGGCTCCTCCTCGCTACTGGCCCTGCGGCGGTACTTCGAAAATACTTTTGACGAATTTATATCGATTTCTTATGTGGATTTGAGGGAGGAAGGATAGATACAATAGGGAAGAGCAGGAGAGATGGAAGAACACACAGAGAGATGCAGCAACGCGTGAGAGACGTGCAAGAGAGAGGCAGCCAAGGGTCAGAGGCTCTCCGTCAGCCTGAACAGGCGATAACGACCACGAGACACCTCCGTCAGCCTCGCCGTCCGTCACGCGGCCGGCGCTCGAAGGCAGCCTGTCGTTCTGTCTCCCGGTCGCACCTCGCAGGAGACGGGGTCGCCGGACAGGCAGGTGTCTGTGATTCGGGACAATGACTTGCATATCTCTTCACCGTCTCGCTTTCTCTGAGATGACGTTGTAAAGGAGACAGGAAGAGGGAGATAGAAGAGGATGGGAAAGAGAAAAGAATCGAAAAAGGAGGAATATCAAGATAGGATCTCCCATGATTCGAAAATGGAGAGATTACGCAACTGAAGACCAGCAAGGAGTAGCGAGGTCACGTGACACTCAGGGCAGCACCCCACGAATAAGGCGACCCTCGAACGTCACAATAACTATAGGGCGTGGAGGAAACATGACGCTTCATTTCTACACTATGCTACTATTGTCATTTCCAAAATTTAACACTCCACTTTCTAAGGTTTTGACTACATGGTAAAACTGGAATTCTGTGACTGGGAATTAAAACACATCCAGCGCTAGTGTTATACTAAGAGGGGGGCTGTATGTGTGACCTGGGCGGCAATGGGTGTGTGACAGGACGTAACGAGGGCGTGAGAATACGCCTGTAAGCTAGGCTAAGAATCAGGTGGCTCAACACAGCAAAAAGCCGTCAAACAAGCTATCACATGTGTCAAACTGCGGTTATTTACAAGTGAAAGTTTCGCTAAGAGTTAGGAGGGACCTCGTAAATTCCACAGATAAGATATAAAATACATAGGAGAGCTTAAGCTTAAGGTGACAGAAAAGGGTCTTACTCCAGTTCTATGAGAGAGAGAAAAAAGGTTACAGCCTTAACATTTTTTATAGTCATGTATTTCATTCTTAGTAAGAAAACTTAATTAACACATGTTAAATACTTTATACGTATACTCTGTTACAGTTACACATATATACAAATCTCTCTCAACCTGTTACAAAGAGACACATTAAACCTCATGATAAAGTACACAGTTAAGAGGACTCCGCCACAACGGCATTGTACCCATACAATTAGGTGGAGAGATGAAGGGAACACAGGACACGAAGTTTAAGAAAGGACCGAAAATCAAACAGAAGGAGAAGGAGAAGAAGAAAAAAAAAAAATCAAACGTACAGAGCCACCACCCTGGAGGACGACCCCAAGAGACGTCCCCCTTCAGGAGGGGCCCGACGTCTACCCGAAGGAGGCGTCGAAGGGAAGGATACTCACCAATTCCTCGTCGTTGAGGGACGCTCTCGGCACCGCAGACGTCAGCCCGGCGTTCCTCTTCGTCGCTGCCATCGTCTGGGGGGGAGGGGAGAGGGGGGCAGGGAAGGGGGAGAGAAAACAGAAGAAATATGTTAGTAAGGGATTTCGTCACTGGCTTCTGATTATTAAATGTGTGTGAAGTGGAGAGGGGATGGCGGGAGGAGAGGAGGAAATGAGGAAATGAAGCAGAAGGAAGAGGAGGAGGTTGTGAAGGAGAGGGAAATGAAAATGAAAAAATACGAAACCAAAGTACATCAGATGAAAAAGAAAAAATTATTGATGGTGATATGAAATATTATTTTTTATTTTTGTACTTTGGAAAATAAAAATGATATATGGGAGGAAGAAAGTCGTTCACAGAAGCAAATCATAACAGATCCACGGGGCAGATAACAGAGCCATCACGGATACAAATTCAAACGCGGAAACCATAAGCGCACCGATAACAACCATGAAAACAACTGTGATAAGAATATTCAAATGATAAAGAGTGTTAGATACGATGAATATATATATATATATATATATATATATATATATATATATATATATATATATATATATATATATATAATATATATATATATATATAATAATAATAAACATAATATAATAAATAAACGCAATAGATGCTTTTATCGATTTTCAGATAGAAAAACAATCTGCAGTAGTATTTTGTACTCATTTTTCTTCGCATAAATTTCAGCCAATTGGTACATCCCATTGAACGAATAATTTCCCTTGCAAGATGCTTCTTCTCACAAATGGAAACAATTTTGCAATTTTGGTATTTTGTAGGATGGAAATAACAACGGCATAGACAATCAATCAATCAATCAATCAGAAAAGAAGAAGAAGAAAAAAACAGAATAATCGATCTCAAAGTGTAAGAAATAAATACTTCTTCCACCCGAGAAAGAAAAAAAGAAAAAAAAACTAACAATCATATAAGACAAAACACCTAAACCTTAGTTAAAAAAGAAACAAATATTTAAACGAATGCCGATCTAAGTTAACAAAGAAAAAAGATCCTCCCGCCCTGATAAATCTCTCCCCCGAATTCTTGGCGGGATTTTCGGCCGGTGGAGACTGTCATGGCGGGAGGGACTTCCGGTGGCCATCCCGGACGCGCGTGGGATGCCGTCGTGTCCGATTCCTCAATGCTGAGTGACCAAACAAAATAAAAAACAATAAACAAGATAAATGAATAATTAAAGATAAGAAAAAAATATAAGGAGAAACAGATATGTATATACAAAGAAAAAAAAACAGCTAACGAGAGAAATTAATGAATACAATAAGAGAAAACGAAGACGAACGATTCTTCCGACATAACGAGGAAAAAAAATGAAGACCCAGACAGATTCTTCAAACCACACAAAAGGGAAGAAAGAACGAAGGGAATAAAGAAACAACAACAGCAGAAAACACACGCACAAAAAAAAAAGAAGAGAGAGGAGAACCGAAATCAAAATACTCGCGGATCGACCGAAATAACTTCGAAATGTTCTAGCTGGGAGCGCCGCCAGACTTCAGAAGAAAAGAAAAACGTGAAGCGCAGTCACACGCGAGAGATCCAACTCGGAGGCTAATCTCAAAGTTATATGCGGCGGATGCATTGAGGGGAGGGAGGGAGGGAGGGAAGAGGGAGGGAGGGAGGGAGGGAGGGAGGGAGGGAGAGAGGGAGGGGAGGGAGGGGAGGGAGGGAGGGAGGAGGGAGGGGAGGGAGGAGGGAGGGAGGGAGGGAGGGAGGGAAGGGAGGGAGGGTGAAGGAAGGGAAGAGGAAAAGGACCTTGAGGAGGGGGGAAGGAGAAGATGGAGGAGAATGGGGAGGGGGAGGGGTGGGAGGGAAGAGGAGGGAGACCTAGGGGAGAATGGAGAAGATGAAGACTTGGTGGAGGGGGAATGGGGAAGAGGGAGGGAAGGAGGGAAGAGGGGAAGAGGAAGAAGACTCGGGGAAGGTAATGTGGAAGGGGGTGGGGCGGGAGGGAAGAGGAAGAAGACTTGAGGGAGAGGGAATGGGGAAGGGGAAAGGAGGGAGGGAAGTGAAAGTGAAGACGAAGAAGACTTGGTGGAGGGGGAATGGGGAATGGGGAATGGGGAAGTGGGAGAGATGGAAGGTAAGAGGAATAAAACGTTGGGGAAGGGAAGGGGGAGGAGGGGACAGGCGGTAAGAAGACGTGGGGGAAGCGATAAAGGCGAGAAGAAGAAAGGGGAAGGAAACACGAAGGAGGTGAGGAAAGAAAAGGGAAAATGGGAAGAAGGATACAAAGGGGAGGGGGATAGGGGATGGGGGAAGAGGAGCACAGGAGGAGGATGTAGGAGAGGAGGTGCAGGGAGAGGAGGGGGGAGAGGAAAGAGCGAAGAGGGAGGAGGAGGAGAAGGAGTAGGGGAGGAGTAAGAAGATGAAGATGAAGGGGGGAGGGGGAGGAAGAGAAGGGAAATAAAGAACACGAGAGGG